GGTACTCGGGTACCTATAGCTACTCCGTTATAATTATTCCGAGCCCGGTGGGTTCCCAATCCCGTCGGTATCGCTTCCCGTGGGTAGCCTATACCGTTTCCAGGTGGGATTCCGATCCCTCTTGATCCCAATTCCGGTATGATCCCGATGCCATCGGTATTCTGGTTTCGGTGGTATCCCGATACCGGTGGGATCCCGATAGCTGTCGGATCCCGATAGCTGTCGGATCTCGATACCGGTGGGGTACCGATCTCAGTAGGTTTGAGTTTTCCGATAGGATTCCGATCTGAGTGGGATCCCGTTATGATGCCGATCCCGCAAGTATCCTGTTTCCCGGTGGGATCCTCTTCTCTGATAGGATCCCATTTCCTGATAGAATTCCGGTCCCGGTTTGATCCCGTTACCTGTTTGAATCACGTTACAGTACAGTTGGGTTCAATTTAATGCTGGATCTCCTTAACGTTACTATAAGCTTCTTCTATATCCCTTTACATATCCCCGTATAACTATATAGAAATTTCTAGGACATTCTGGATACCATTTAATAACCTCCCCCAAACATGTCAACTGTAAACAATAACTTTCTGAGTAAAATTAATTATTTTTTTAACTCGAAAAATTATAGAACTATATGCACTGCTATAGCCTATAGCTATAATAAGAGGGGACCCATTCCATAACTGTACCGAATTAGTTTTGCCTGAGATGGGGGCCCTATAAAAATCATTCAGATAAATTATTGAGTTAAAATTTATCCGATTAAAATCTACTTTAAAATTAAAATTCCATACATATAGCTTTTTAAAATTATCGAACTTTCTGGAAAATTCTAGATTGGATGATTAGTTTTAAATCCACCGATATTTCAATACAGACAATGCAATGAAGGGCATTGCTACCAAGCTAGGCCAATATCCATCAATTCACATAGAACCTAAAGTGTTGTCTAAGCCTATTAATATTTATATATAGGTTATAGGCGACCCAGAGAAATGGATATTATGAGTTCAATACCCTTCGATATTTGAATACATGGATAATAAAGCGTATGTGTTCTAAGTTTGGTCAAGATACATCCATTCATGTTGGAGTATTTTTTAGTAATTTTATTTATATCTCGAATAGGAAAAAAATACATTTTGGGCCCCCGGCCCCAAACAGAATGTTATAAAAGTTCATAACCCCTTAAGAGTTCCTTCCGGATAATGGTGGATATATGAATATGTGTCAAGTTTTGTAAACATCCATGACTCCTTGAAAAGCCTTTGTGGAATAAATAGACAATCACCGCCACAAATTTTCACTTGCATATATATATATATATGATTTGATCACATACTTGAGTTTGATCATGTACTAAAAGTTATTGAATAATAATAAGTAAAGTTTGCCTTGTGAGTAGATGCAGGGCAGGGAAAGATAATTGTGCTCACGGTGTGTGCTAATCTGTATGCATTACCATAGCTCGATTCTTTTCTTCAAAAATCATCGCACGCTTTAGCACGCTGCCAAAAAATCTGTCCAGATATGAACTGTTAGTGTTAGTCCCGGTGGTCGTCGCCAAATTAATTTTCAAATTGATTTTGTCACATTGTGTAACTGCCATTAACTCATTCCAGGCATCAATGTTCGCGGACGATTCAAATGAGCTGAAGCACCGTCAAAGGAAAAAGTTGGTATAGTAACCATGTCACATTCAACTTCAAGTGAACTGATTTGTCACTGAATCTTAAATGATGGTATAGGTTGTGGGAGATTTAGGACAGCCAATTAGTACTCAACTGCCTGCAATAACAATCACTTAAGAGTTTGTATTCCATTTCTTGTGGTATTTTCATTTGTTCTGTCTGCTGATGAAGGCTCTTAGCCAGAACGTTCTTATCTTTTGTTCTGTCTTTTGATTGAAGCTTGCAGTTGCACATACATTGTTCTACTAATAATTCCTTCATATGGCGTGAACGCAGTCCTTCATGTATTATCAGTTAGGACAGTTAGTTAAACACTATTGACTGTTGATAATGATAAGGCATCAACCACACCCATCATTTTATGACTTTAGACCAAGACAGACTTTTAGCTGGGCTACCTCAAGTTTCATTGACATAGTTTAACTACATAAAGGTCCATGTTTCATTTTATCAGTAAGGAGATATAACCAATGAAGTAAGTATTGTTTTCACGTATGCTATCATCAGCATTAGTCTAATAAATGAATGATGATAGAGTACACTGGCTTTAGGTAAGGTAAGTGATATATTTAAAAATGATCCAACTCCTTTGGCAATATTTTTAGTTACAGTACAAAATACTAACTAAAAGTGAAAAAAAACCCACTCCAAACAGAACATGCTTTAGTCTTTATTGTGTACTTATTGAGAATATTGAACACTGCAGATCAAAAGTGTACTAGCAACAAACCATCACAGTTAAACCAATTGTTGTCAAGCTGTAACAACAGCAGTAGGGTTACATTGAAATCAGAGCTGGTTTTTATCAATAACTTGAGGACAATTTGTGTGCACTACTGCTACAAACCTTCCTCATTCAAATTTTGGTAGTCATTTAACTTCACCTGCATTTGAGTGTTTAAAAATGGCCTTAAATGACCTAATATTCAGTGATGCACATAGGTTAGTAATAATACTAATGTATCAAGCCCAGCCTCCCTTAAAAGTGGGGAAGAAGGACAATTAGAAACATTGGTACACACAATAAACTCTTTTTCGGTAACCTCTAAAAGTTAAAGCCAACAATAGTATCGGTAAGAGCTGCCAAGCCACTGACGGCAAAAACCACACACTGCTCTACGAAGCTAGCACTTATTTCAATGTTCCATCTCTCTGGCCAACATTTCCGCCTATGAATGTTGCCCGCCACATGCCCAGCTATAATTGCCTTTGGTGACAACAGTGTGTCATGCCATATGGAGATGTGACATCAAGACACCGGCAAATATCTACATGAAAAATACCATATCATAATAAAGTTGAAGATATTTGAAAGCACCCTATAAAATGCTGTTTTAGTCCGAATGGTGAGTAAGAAATGAGAAAATATGAGCTAATAATTAGAAATGTTCTTTACCCATTTACGACACAGACTATACAGTTTTAGACAAATGTACAAGCTCCATTCACATTATACCGACCATTGTATATTCCAGGCTGGTGCATTCAAAGTTTTTAATGTTTCCATGCAAATACAATCTAAGATAGTTTAAAATGTAGGATAAAAAGCTTTGCAAACACTCCTTTAGCTAATGTTGTAAGACTGGCCAGAGAACTCAACCTCGCATTACCACGGTAACAGCCATGTTGAAGGTAGGTCTCTTGAAACACATGATGGAATAATTTAATTTTTGACTCATTTACAGGTAAGATCATAAAAGAACTTAACATATAAATTGTTTATAAGAGTTACATAAAGTTAGAACTTATAAACAAAAAATGGTCCGAACCTATTTCACGCAGGAAATGCTGAATATTGGTCACATCACTTTATATTCTAAGAGACAGAGAAACCATCCATAAACATACTGTATAGAACTTAAGTAACAGTCTCAGTTTATTTGGTAATGTTTTGACTTCACATATAAACAGTCAACAAAAACAGTGTACACAAAATAACTCCACAGCTAACCTCTCATGGTGGAAAATAGAGAGCCCCCTTAACTCTTTTAAAAGTGTCAATAAGTTATCTTCCAATTATTTGAAGATAATTTTTAAAAAAATTAAGTCTCTAAGCATAATGGCAGGAAGTAGGGGGAATATGAGCTAGCATAAAAAAAAAAAAAAAAAAAAATTTTTAAAAAAAGAAAAAAAAAAAAAAAAAGGGGAAAAAAAGCTAACCAAAAAAAAAAAAAAAAAAAAAATTCTCTAAAAACTGAAGAAATAAAATAACACTGGTGACTTTTACCTAAACTATTTATGGACCAAACTAAACCATTACCAAATAAACCATAAATTTTTTATATCACACATGACAAACTCCAAATATTAAAATACCAAGTATGGGACAAGCCCTGGTTGAACAATTACAAGAAAAATCTGGTACCAGCTGTAACATAGAAAATGGACAAATACAGTTAAAAGAACAAAGCACAGTCACAGTAAAATAGATCTGAGTTGAACCATAGAGCAGTCAGTGCTAACTGGAAAATACTTGACAAACCTCAGGTCTGGACAGAAACAAAAAACAAAACAATATTAATATCATTCTAGATTTTTGTTTCGCTATAAGATTTGGTTGAATATTTCACTCTATGATCCGAGACCAAAATTTTAAATGGTCTTAAAGTTCCAACTTTCAAGACCAGTGTTACTTAAGCGATGATCCTGAGCCACAGCTAGTAACTTTGGTATAACAATAAATAGTTTTGTTCGTGGTTAGAGAAACTGGAAAATCATTTTTAAAATGCCGGCACAGATCCAGAGAAACTCAAAGGGTAGCATGCTAGAATGACATCAATCGTCTCCAGAACTTTGCCTGAGGTTTGACAGAAATGATCCAAGTTATGAAGCATAATTATTCTATAATGAAAATAAATAATGAAAAAAAAAAAAACAGCCATGATCAGATGGTTCAACTCAAACAGTAACAGGAAAAACTTAAAAAAAAAAAAATGCATTGGGTTATTGCTAAAATGAAAATAAATAATGAAAAAAAAAAAAACAGCCATGATCAGATGGTTCAACTCAAACAGTAACAGGAAAAACTTAAAAAAAAAAAAATGCATTGGTGTATTGTGTTGTGCACACAATGACCAGGATGAGGTGCAAGTTGTGTGACTGCGCCATTGTTGTCGAGCTCATTCATCCTGCCCACGTCAACAAAGTGGTTAAAATACAAGTATAAAAGAATGATATTGAAACTACATGTAATAATATGTCTTATAAATGTCATTTCTAGTAGACTTTCATTTTTATACATTAGACATACAAGAATGGTATACAGCAGAAGAATGGTATTTAAAAACTGGGTCCAGTGAATTATATAAGTGCTCACAAAATCATGCAGGCTTTCTTCTTTTTGGGTTTTGGTTTAGGGCACAGCACGGCGCGGATGGCTTCGTCGAAAACATTCTTCAGCCCTTTCTGCGTCAATGCTGAGCACTCCTGATACTTTACGGCACCAATCTCTTTGGCCATGGCCAATCCTTGAGGGTATGTGATGGGAGATAATTTCTTCTCACGAAGTTTTTCAATGGTTTCCTTGTCTTCTCTCAAATCAAGTTTGGTCCCAACTAGGATAATGGGAGTATTGGGGCAGTGGTGGCTGACTTCTGGGAACCACTAAATTAAAAATAAATAATTACATTTTAAATTCAAATGCTTAATGGACATCAATAACCAAAATATGTAATTCGTAAACTTTTAAACTTGACTAACTCTGATTTAACAGTATTTACTTTTTTGTACAACTGTTAAACAAACTTTTAAAAAAAGAAACCTTTATTAATTGCATATTTAAAATAAACATTATACATAAAAATAATAGATCTCTAATCTAGTTTTGGTTTAAGTGAGAAATACAAATCTGAAAATGATAGGACACAAAATAATCTAAATGTGAGAGACAACATTTTGTCTTAACAATTTTGGTGTTATTTACTATTTATAACAAATATGAATTTTTTAATTGGTTCTTTTAAAATAATGTAGTGAAATTGTGCCCATAAAATTTTTGTAAGATTCAAAGTTACTCAAGGTACGTTCACACGGCAGATTTTCTTTTACTGGGATTGTCAGTTTTTGTTGACAACTTGCTATTCACTGAAACAAAAACTTGGGCTAATAAGTTCGATTTTTTTTTTTGATGTATATTGTTGACTGGCAATATACAGAAACAATCCATTCATCTATAATATGTGGATCTCATCCGCACACAGGGACATAACTAATGGAGATCAAACAAAACGTCAGTATCATGATTATTAAATCCCTTTGAAAAGATAACAGGTTTTATTCTCACCCCATAATAAATGGTGGATACATGGAGCACCATATGGATTTATTATTGTAGAATATTCACCTCTTCCTGTATTTTGTATGCGCAACATGGTTGCATTGCCCTAGCTAGATTTTTTTAATAATTGTGCATGAGTTGTCATCAGTGGACAGTTGAGTAGCAAGCAAACAGTAAAAAATAATGTACAAAAAAAAATTAATAAGTTTATTTTAAGCTGACTTGTTTAAAATTTTTAAAATTTGAAAGTAGCCATATTTGTTTGAATATTAACTAATTAAATTTCAAGTTTGAAATTATTGTTTTAGACAGATTTTTTAAAATTGTACGTTTCAATTTTTCCCTGCATTTGTACAATCATATTAAAAGAAAATTTAAAAAAAAATTCATTTAAGGGCCATGTGCAGCAGCAGGTTGCCGACTGTAGCGCTAGGACACAAATTTAAAACTGATAAATATAAAAAAAGATCTGCATCAGATGCCATTGTTGTGCCTGCTCAGTGTGAAAACCTACGTTGGATATCTGTCTCAGTGGATTCTTAACATGGATTCACTACCCAGATCTATGGCTGCAACAAATCCACAGTGTGAACGTACCTTTAAGGATTATTTTAATAGTAAAAAAATAAATTTTAAGAAATCATAAGTATAATAGGCAGTGAAAGATTTAGCAAATTTTAGCAGGTAATTTATGTTATACTTATTTTAAACAAATTAATTTTTAATTTTTACTACTTTTTAAGAGAGATACCATTCTAAAACTGAAATTCCAGAACTAATTGATAAAATTCTGATGCAGAGAGAGAGAGAGAGAGAGAACGATATGAATGGCACATGTATATCATCTTTTTCTGATATCAAAAAGCTGATCAGCTGTGATCAATAGCCAAAATGGCAAGCTTAGACAAATCTGAAGATTAATTGATGTTTCCTTAGTCTTTTCAGAAGGGTTCATATGCCAAAATAATTACATTTTCTATGAGACATTAAAAAAAAAAATCACTTGAAATAAGGTAGTTTCAATGATGTAAAATTTTATAGAAAATAAAAAATTACCAACATACAGACCTGTTTACTCTTACGATTTTGGCGTACAATGTACGATTTTGAGGTGTATACATTATATATAGAGCATGTTTTTGCTCTATAAAGAGAATGTATTGAACGATTATATGATGATATTGTACGATTTTAAGGGTTTGAGGGTAAACAGGTCTGAACATAGAACTGTACTTTTCTATAAAACTTAAATATTACCATACAAATAAAAATCTTACCTTAGCTCTAACATTCTCAAAGCTGGTAGGACTGATCAGTGAGAAGCATATAAGAAATACATCCTAAAATGTAAACAGAAAAAAAATTATATTAAACTGTCAATGGTAATTTAAAGTGATATTCACTGATATAATTTTTTTTAAATACTAAAGTGATTTTAAACATTTTAAACTAATTTTCCATCATCAGTTTTGAAAACAGTTAGTCTTAGTCCTATCAGTTGTTTTTTTTTACTGCTATCAAACTGGGGTTTGTGGTTGATAGTTGTAACTTTGATGCTGTGTTAAAATTGTCAGTAATGTTATATAATAATTATAAGTATATAATATTATGGTCATTTTTCCTAGTATTACAGTGACATGACTGAATTTAACATCTTAACAACCAGACACTGGAGTCCTTTAAAACCGATTAAAAAAAAAAAAAAAAATTAGAAAATTAAATCATGACATAATTATAAAATGCTGACTTGCTTAAAATATGTATTTAACTATGTGCTGAAAATGAATATGCACAATGTAATAAAAAAACATTTCCATTCATATGGATCAGTTAAAGAATCTTTAACTTGTTATATTATTTGAAGGGAGCATAAAAAACAATCGGACTTGAAACATTTAAATGATGTGATCTATCCATTTGTGAATGATGTAAACTTTTAAATGTGTATGGTAGCGAAGGGGAGATTATTCATTTTTTAATTCATGCATTCAAAACATTCATAAAATAATGAAAAATTGCTAAATTAAACTTATTTTGATTTTTTTGGGGTCCATTTATTTAATTTTGTCAAACAGTATTTTCAGGGACTTGTATTATTTTTTTTTCCACACAGGTTGGTATGAATGCAATTTATACAAAATATCCTATTTGAAAAGAATCTCAAAAATAAACATTGCAATATATTTGGACATAAAATTAAAAACCATCACCAGCCTTTAATATTATATAGTGTTCTCATTAATTTTATTCAAAACTTATTTAGGGAATAAAATTTGTTGTTGATATAGCCAAATACTGAAATATAGCTTCTCATAAATAAAAGGGTTAAAATTAATTATTTTTATCTCCATTTTTCTGCCATTATCAATATAATTTTTACTTAATCCCAAGTGATCCGTTGTGTACCCCCAGGGGTATGAGTACTACACAATGGGAACCGATGGTCTAAATAAATAATGCTGCAGGATTCATTAAACCTTTTTTCATTCATATTGGGGGGTGTTAATATTTCAAAACAACACCACCAGCACTTCACTCCCGCTCGAATGGAAAGGTAAAAACAACAGCTGCAACAAGACGACTTTAAACAAAGATTTCAAACCACAATCTTCCTAATTAGGACAAGCTACTCTGTGCTGCGTCAATGTGGCTTAGCAAAACAAAAATTTCTGACCAGAAGACTCCTCCATTTTCACCAACTGTTGCTTTAAATGTATACGTTTCTGTAATTGCTAATTTTTATGTGAAGCGCAGAGAGCCTAGCTACTAAGGGTAGCTCACTCTAATTACTGTCTTATTATATAAAAAATGAAATTTATAAATGCTATACTTTAAAAAAAATTATATTCCTAATTTTTTTAAATTTTGATTATTAATTTTGAAAAGTTTAAAATTCTTTAAAACACTGTCCAAAAAATAAAAATATTGAAATAGACTTTAAACCTAGGCAAAGAAAAGTCAACATGCATAAATCACTCTATTTCACCATTTCATGGAATGCACTTTACAGACTATTGTGAAAATGTTCATTATATTATTAAGTTTCGTCTAGATCCTGCATGAGCTAAACTTTTCTACACAAATATGAATGGTTATCAATCATCAGTAATTTTTTTTTTTTTTAAACAGTAGAAAAATATCTAAAAATTGGCAGCCTCCCACCCATCAAAATCTTTTGCCTATATTTGACTTTTTTTCAATCATTGGTAATAAGATTAAAAAATTATTTGACAGAGCTGAGACATTTTTCACATAATGGACAAATGTGAAGATAATACTTACTGTTTGAGGATAAGATAATGGACGCAGTCTGTCATAATCTTCCTGACCAGCAGTATCCCAGAGCCCAAGGTTGATTGGCTTACCATCTACCATAACATTTGCCGAGTAGTTGTCAAAACTATTTAAAAATTTGTAAAAAGTCAAATCAGAAGTCACAAATATAAGGTGATAAAATTTCATATTACTCTATTGCAATGTTAGTGATACCCTAATATTCCATATTAAATTAAATCCAGATGGGGGGGGGGGGGGGGGTTTTTTTCCACAGGTCAACTTCACTGAAGTTCCAATCTTCAAGCAAATAACAATTAACTGAAGTATGTTTTAAATTTTCAGATAAATATGGCTACTAGTTTTGAAATCATTGATTTTTAATTTTTTTTTGTGGGGGCACTATTGAATTTGTATGTTCTGAAATTTAAGTCAGCCACAAAAAAAATTTTTGTAGGTAAATATACTAATAGCTAATTAAATTATACCACAAAAAAATCAATGCAATATAGAAACATTATTTTCTAGCTTAATTTCCCCTTTTCAGGTGAAGTTTGACTCTAACTTCGAAAGTATAAAATGACGAAGACTAAGACATCTAGAAACAGGTACTTACACAGTAGGGATATACTCTCCTGGAAAGGCGTTGGTAGTGTAACTGATAAGTAAACATGTTTTACCGACAGCACTGTAAATTTTTTAAAAAGACACTAATTAGTAAATTTTAGACATGAGCAAATTAAAAACAAATTATAGTTTACATATTTAAACAACAAATGATGAGTTTAAACAAATTAGCAACTTAAAAAAAGAATGAATGCCATATCTTGATGCAGTGATTGTAGTGTTTTTGTCATTCGGTTGATCTTGGGCTTTAAAAGTGGGGAGAGAGAGGAAAGGGGAGCGAGGTGGATGCCTAGTTGCAAATAGTCATAAGCAACGTTCCCTTTAAGCTGTGCAGCAATCTCACAGACGCCGCGCAGCAGTTTTGAGTACGCGCAGCTAATTTCCACTAAGTGTATGTTTGTGTCTGTAGGCTGTAAAATTTTGCACACAAAAAAAAATTGATGCTGTAAAAATTTGCACACAACTTTATGATTTTGCACACGAACCAACAAACCTTAGAGCAGCGGTTCTCAACCTGTGGGTCGCGACCCCTTCGGGGGTCGCCTAAGACCATTGGAAAACATACATTTCCGATGCCGATGTTCTTAGAAACCGATTGATTTGGTTGCGCCAAAAAAATAGACATATCATCCCCCTTGATTCATTCACCCCATAATAAAGCCTAAACCGACAGTGAAAAATACTGCACCCGTCAGCTCGTCAACGGGTAATCGTAGATTATAAATAATGCATACTTTGGAAGAATCAGACATGTCCAGTGAAAATGTAGAAGAAAAAAATCAAAGTGACTCCCCTAAGTATCACGTGATAGGCTTAATTAACCAATGGCAAGTAAGGAAACCGTAAATAAATAAAGAATATAGGTCAAATTTCCGATGCTGAAATAACACCGGACAATAAATGCTACTATTGTTAATTATGATAGGCTTGAAGTGAAAATTGAAAGCAAAAATAAATATCGGTTTAGGATTAAGTTTCGCCTGCAATCAGTACTACAGTGCCTGTGTGAGTGTAAGCTCAGCAATGCTGTCTTACTAAGTTATGTCTCTGTTAAAAATTGCCTCTGACGAATGATGATTGTCTGATAATAGTGATAAAATCAAAAAATAAAACGCAAAATAAAAAGTATGCTCGTATGCATATATCTATGTTTTCATTGTTTTCAATCACAATGTCTTATTGGCTGTGAAGTTCTATCAGCCGAATATCTTTGAAGCTGAACAAACTAAAACGCCATTTTGATAGCAAGCATCCCAACTTTGCCGGCAAGGCTACAAACTATTTTAGAAGTAAGACCGATGGACTCCAGAAAGCCAGACTTGACACTGGTGGCAAGTACCACAAACAAAACGTAGCAGCCGTTAAATCTTCATATTTGGAGGCACTCAGAATCGCCATAGCTATGACACCTCAAACAATTGCTGAAGAGTTACTGTTGCCAGTGGCCAAAGACATTGCTCGAGTTATGATCGGAGATGAATTTGTTACAAAATTGAGTGCAATTTCCTTATCTAACGACAGTGTCCGCAGCAGCATAGATGACATATCAGTTGACTTATCTTTATCAGGTAATCCAGGAAATTAAATCTGCTCCACTCCCAATATTTAGTATCCAGTTTGATGAAGCTACAGACGTTTCAAACTGTTCACAGTTACTAGTTTACGTGAGGTATATTAATGATGGCGGCTTTAAAGATGAGTTTCTTTTTAGCAAACCTCTTGAAACGACAACTACTGCACATGATGTATTTGACACGGTTTATTTCTGAAAGATCATAAGATCTCTTGGAAAAGGTTAGTGCTCTTGCAAAGACTGCCCCGAGCATTTCTGATTTGGTAAGAAAGAAGCAATCTTAACCTTCGCACTGACGTTGACTTTTTACGCATACTGTCGCAAAATATACCAATAAAGTTTACTCTTGTTAAATTAAGACTGTTACCATGCTACACTATGCTTCAAGACAAAATCTCATTTATCTGTAATTATACATAAATATTTCACAATATATAATTACCTATTTTTTGTGTGTTATTAATCACTATCTTTTAATCATGTTCAATTTGTAACAATGAAAAAACATACTGCACATCATATATTACATTAAGATTCATAATAGAAGCAAAATTACAGCCATGAAGTAGCAACGAAAATAATTGTAAGATGGGGGGGGGGGGGGGGGGGGGGTCGCCACAACATAAGGAATTGTATAAAGGGGTCGCGGCATTAGAAAGGTTGAGAACCACTGCCTTAGAGGGAACATTGGTCATAAATTGTAGTTTTGTTACAGTCAGTGGATACCATTAAATGTGATGTAACATGTGAAAGAATTACCAATTTTTTTCCATTTACTTGTTTAGGCCTAACTCAGCTAACTGAAAATTTAGGATTAAGTGGTGGTTCAGTCTTGAAATAACCTGATGTTGCAAATGAATTTACTGTGAAGTCAGCTAATGGCCTTGCAAAACTATTGCAGACAAAAAAATTAGGTTAACTTTTAAATCACTTATCACTTAGACTAAGTTATTTTGGCCCATAATTGCATGATTTATCAACACCACCAAGAAAAAGATTTGAAGTGAAGTTTGGTTCAAAATATCACAAAGTGAAGCATCCCCATAAGTTGTTTAATCCCTGATACTATTAGAGAGGGGAATTTAAGTTGCATTTAGTTTTTTTGTGTTTTTTTCATTTTATTTATAATAATTTCAAAAAGTTAAAAAAAAATTTTCAAGGCCTATTTGTTGTACTTTGCATTGTGAATGACCTTTAAATACAAATTTGGTACCACTAAATTAAGTTGTGTTCAAAAAGTCTGTCTCAAGTTTTTGTCGTTAAATACTATGGTTATATAAACTGCTAAAATTCACAAAATAATTCATAACGCAACTTGTTTAAAATATAGAAACAATATATTTTCTGATTTTGGAAAACTTTCTGATTTAAAATGGTGTGGCCGTGATTTTAACAATCATTATCCATTACCGTAGCCTATTAAATAATATTAATTTAACTATGAATAAGCATAGATGTCATAAAAATATTTTTGTAAAAATTAGGCCAACTCTTTGTCACTGTATGTGTCAAACATCAAGTTATAAAATTAGGTTGTAAAGTTAAAGGCCTAGACCTAAGTATTGAAGCTTTAACTCTAATCATTACTGGTACCTTTTACATTTTTATTCATGTGGCACTGAATGACCGTGGTCAGTGGCTAACTTAAATTAGTTTTCATTTACACTTTTTAATGACATTGGCAACTTCAAGAAAATGATAGTGTGGCTATTGCTGGAAGTTGCAAAATCACAAGTTATTTTAAGTAGCCTATTCATTGTAAACTACTGTATATTACTGTCCTATAAACACTACCCACCATAAACCATAACTTTTGTTTTTAAAAAAACAACAACTTAAATGCCATGTTCATGTATAATGCAATCTGTTAATTTTGTTCATTAATCATTTATACAACATGAATTCACTAAAAAAAAAATATTTTTTTATGTCAAAATCTTTTAATTGATCATAATATTTAAAATAAACTGTGGTCATACCAATTCAACTATGCTAATATCCCGTCAAAGGGATCCTACTTAAATGACTGCTGTTAGTCGCAGACAGGATGTTCGCTCAGTCCCTGAATATGAGCAGGCCAAGAAGATTTGGTTGCATAGGCATTAAGTTATATCGTTTACCTGTTATGAAAAATTTCTTACATGTGTGTATACAATGTGAACCCCTATTTTTAAGAAGCTTTTTTTAACCCTCAATTTTTCACATTATATGTACTGTAGTAATATAAGGTAAATATAAAAGTTTATCAAGCTGTTTAACTTGATATGCCATATTGCCCTTAACACGACACTGCTTAATTTATTACATAGCTGTAAAAGTGCAGTTCAGATGCTTATATTATTTCTTAACGAATTTTATATTTTCACATGTAAACCTATGTGTACTCTTTATTAATAAACTACAGGCTAATAATTAGCTAATACTAAATTATACTGGGCAAAATTTTATTTTTATTTATTTTCTTAATTGTCGTTTAACAGCCCCCACTACTACTTAGTCCCACGTCAACGAACTCTCCATTTTTTAAAAATCCTTTAAGCCAGATTTTTTTTACTTGTATTACTTATAAGTTAGTATGCTAAATTTTCAAACTGAAGCCATTGGCACAAAAAGCAAAATAGGAATCAAATTTAAATTAAAGTATTATATATTGATGCTTATTAATGTAAATACAATAACATTTATTATATCAGAAATTTAAAAATGAAACTAAATGTTGTCCGATTAAAATCTCCAGTTAAAAAATGCTGGAGATCTAAATTATTAAATCGTAGAATTTTCTGAAAAATTCTAGACCAGCCCAGAATGGAGTGAATATTATTAGACTACTATTAAATCCACCCTTATTTAAATATCAATAATGAAGTATACAGCTACAAAGCTCGACTAATGTCCTTCAATTCATGTAGAGACCTAAATTGTTGTCTAAGCATACTGGTATTTATATAGCTTAAATAAGGAAAAATTAAACTGGGGACACCCAGCCCCAAAGGAGTGGAGTTCAGTACTCTTCAGTATTTGAATACAGATAATCGAATGCTTGTGTACTAAGTTTGATCTAGATCCATTCACCCTGCAGCAGCATTTGTTTGAAATTATATTTATATAGCTTATATTAGTATTATTAGAAAAAAATAAATTTTGGGCTTCCAGACCAAAACGGAATCGTTTTATTATGTTGAACACCCCCCAGAATTTCATTTTTTTTTAAACATGCCTTCTGTTTGAAAATTTCATTTATCATACCAACTTAGAGTTAACGAATTTTGCATATAGTCATATAGGGAGAAAAAAAAACAACTTGAGAGATCATTCAGAGCTTTGTACTAATTATTGGGCGCTGTTCAAAGATACTTTATAAATCAAATAAAAAAGAAGTTAGCTGTAAAAATATTTATTGTTAATTAACTATTACTGCATGGAATTAATTTAATTAAGAATACATATAAGTTTAGGTTTTAAAATATGAAATTTGTTAAGAAATTTATTATAATAACGGCACTTTTATTTTATATAGCTAAAGCCTCACATAGGATGGGCCTACATATACTTAATTAAAGAAGATAGTAGGAGATAGGCCTAAAAGTATCCTATGCCTATAGTCTAGGCTAGTCAGAGCAAAGAAGCACGGGCCTAAGCGGCAGCCACGGCCACAGCATAGATATATAGGCCTATTAGTCAAACCATTTTTTTTTTCAGATTTAAAATCAGGAGGATATTTTAAAATTTAAAGCTAGGACTAGGACATTTAACATTATTTTTGCACAACATCATCATCATCAATGGCACGACAGCCCATGTAGGGCCCTGGACTGCTCCACCACATCCTTCCATTCGGAGCGATCCATGGCATTCCGTCTCCATGCTCGAACCCCCAACTGGTGTAAATCTGTCTCCACATCATCAATCCACCTCATCCTTTGGCGACCGATGAGTCGTCTGCCCCTAGGCTTCTGCCTGTATATAATTTTGGCTGCTCTGCATTCCGGCATCCTTAGGTATTCTGCCTTTTTTTATCATTGTGACTATGGGTGGTTCTCTGTACAAATAGTAAAGTTCTTGGTTTGTACGTATTCTCCAGATATCATTTTCTATCACTGGTCCGTATATTTTGCGGAGGATTTTCTTCTCCCATGTGTTGAGCAGGTTCTCTGCTTTTCTGGTGAGGGCCCAGGTCTCACTAGTGTACGTTACTACAGGTCTTATGATGGTGGTGTATATTGTCTTCTTTGTTCCCCTTGATAAGTTTTTGTTTCCCAGTAGCTTTTGTAGACTGAAATACGAACGGTTGCCTGCTGTTATCCTTTCTTTCACCTCTGACATTATCTCATTGTGCTCATTTATAGTTGCCCCCAGATATTTGAATGTGGCCACTCTCTCAAATTTGTGGTTGTTTATATTGATGTTATTATCAGCATGGGAGTTTCTTGACATTATCATATATTTTGTCTTCGGTTCATTTATATCAAGGCCAGCTTTGAATGAGGCATTTTCAAGTTCCCTGAATGCTTTAATTATGTCATTACGGTTTCTACCCAGTAGTGCTATATCATCTGCATATGCCAGGTACTGCAATGGTTGGCTATATAAGGTTCCTGATGGTCGTTGCTCTGTAGTATCTCTCTGGAAATAGTTTGTTATGGTTCCACTGGTGCTAATAAATGGTTGGCTATATAAGGTTCCTGATGGTCGTTGCTCTGTAGTATCTCTCTGGAAATAGTTTGTTATGGTTCCACTGGTGCTAATGTGAATGCTTCTAATAACTTTTTCTAGCGTGATGTTAAACAGGATACATGATAGTGAGTCTCCTTGTCTGAGGCCCCGATTAACTATGAACTCCCTAGAATATTCTCCCTGAACCTTGATTCTGCTTTTGGAGTTGGCCATTGTCATGTGTATGAGCCGAGTAAGCTTGTTAGGGACTCCAAGTTCTTGTAAAGCATTGTATAAGTAATTCCTGTTTATGCTATCGTATGCTGTTTTGTAATCCACATATAGTTGGTGTATGTCGATGTTATATTCGTAGCATTTCTCCAGGAGACAAAAAAAAATATAACGGCACAATGGTTTTTCAAAAATAAAAAATTATTTGTGGTTATGCTGAGAGTATATCTGTCTGGCAGGCGTTCTTTTGAAAAAAATATTAAGATGCTTATGTGGATCAATTGAATGATAGCCTATATTTTTAAATATTAAAGTTGTTTTATATTATTTATTTATCCCTGGATATCATAGTCTACTGGCATTGTTGGACTTAGCCTACTTAAAACTCAGTAATACTGAGTGGTCATAATATTAATACTGGCAGTTGATACTCTTAGGCTACACTACAATACAGTATAATACACCTATATTTTTAAAGGTCAATGTTGCCTATTAATATTAATATATATCAAGTTATGGCATAATATTTTAATACCAGTGAGGATAAATTCACAGTCGCCTGAGCATTTAGGTTATAACTTATAACTATAAGTTATAGTCAACTAAAGTATATTAATATTATAGTATATAATATTAATATAATATTTTTTGGTTAGTCACTAGATTTAGTACTTTTAACTTTACTAAGTTGGGCTTAACCCTAAAGCTAAAGACTAAGAAGGGACTTTGACTTAGTTTTTTTTCTAACTTAGTAGTAGTTCACACTGGCCCAACAACACTATCAGACTAAACTAATCTACTTTTAGAGCCAATAGAAACACCTAAAAGGGCTTCATGGTGTTAAATAAATAACTTAAATAAAAGGAGTATACAATTTATGATTAAATTTTAGATACAGTGAACACATTATTGGTGATTCTTCTTACTCCTACTACTTTTTGGACCCAGGAACACGACAACACTGTCGTCACCCCATTTTTTACCCCTTTTCCTTTCATTTTGGTTGTATACTTTCTCAAAATTAATATAGAAATAAAAATAAACATGTATTACCCATCGCCAACAACTACACATTTTATAGCCTGCATGTTTTCAGAGCAAACAGATATAGAAAATTTAGAAAACGATCCAGGAACACAAATTCTAAGACAACCCCAACAAATATGGCCCCGGTCGGAATGGATTATATAGGCCGAGAGGTTCTAAAATTAGAAACGACCAAAATATATATCGTTGTCATTGAACCGTTACAAACACGGAAGTAAAAGATGAAAAATAAGTTTAGATAATTAAATATAGAATAGTCTATGTATTTTAAAATAAAGAAGTTTTTCTTTTAAATAAATATTAATTTTGTTATTTTCAGAAAAATAATATAAGCTCATTTTTGGCATTTTGTAGAAACAAATTATATAAATTGTTTCAGTCTCAATCGGAAGCCAAGTGTCTAAATTTAAAAGTAAACTGAGGCAACTAGCTGAACTAGCAGCCGAAGATAAAACTTAGGCTATGACTGACCAGATGAGATAGTGATACTAGTGATATAATAATGCACTATAGCAATGGCTGTATGGCAACAAGTGTTGGCATTAGACGCTAAATTTAATGCGTACCGGGCGCCAAATAACCCACAGTTTCGTATGTCTTAGCCTTAGTATTTCTATTTACTATTTAGTCTTTTACTAAGTACTTTTCAGATTCAGTACTTTCATTTATTGAAACTTGTTCTATTTTAGACTTAGACTAACGTAGGCTTATTATTATTACTATTACTATTTGTTTGAAACATTCACTTGGGGGACTAGGCCCATAAAAAATACGTCTTAGTGTTTCACTATTCACTTCATTCATTAGTTACTAAATAATAAATATCATTATTGGCTGCGCAATTCCGACCCGAGATTCAGACCCAGAAAAGAGTGTGAGGCTGGGTTTTAAAAAAAAATATTTAAAATAATTAAATATTATTGAGTTGTGTTTTTAAGACAAAATTTGGTTTCCAATGAAAGATAAATGAATGGACTATATGTTTGTAAACTTACTTCTTCAGTTTAACTAAAATAAACTACCACAAATAACATGGACCCGGGTCCGAAAAGCTGCTATTTTTCAAGTACAACAATCTCAGATCAATCTGCATTTGGCCATCTATAAATGATGTCACATATTAAGGGTGGTCATATTTTTGTTACAAGGGGTGTTTTAGCATTATGACATCACATATAGAAGTGAAAATAAGTTTTAAAAATTGCACATTATTACAGAAATTTGTAATCTCCTTCTTTTATAAAACAATTATAATTATTTTATTTTCAAACTACGATAACTGTCATTTATTACTGAGAGTAGAGAATCAGTACAGGTAAGCGAGGTCGGATAAACAGCTCTGATCAAGTTACATGATGCCGTGGAGGAGGAGAACCGGGTGTAGTGACATTGACAGTCAAGTCCAAATGTGGAGACGGGAGGCATAGAATTAAGACTACCACATGAAGTGGGATGGAATGAAAAATGGTTGACAGGGGAGGGGGTGGCGGAGGGAAATGATATTTGTAAATGTTCAAGGGCAGAGTTTCTTAACCCATTTGCAGTCCTGCATCCCCTCTCCGCTGCTAATCAAAGTGCATAAAAAGGCATCAAAAACTAGTGATGGCAAGAAATATACAATTTTCTGGATCTTCTGCAGCTCAGGGGGTGCCCTCATTCTTGTTTGAGAACCAATGTTCTAGCCAAATGTTTCTGACACATAATAAGTGCAGTAATTGGATTTCAATGGGATATTAATTTTTTCAGGTTGTAAAAAGTTTTTTAGCTGGTGTCAGTGCCAAATTAGAGGTGTTAATCAACTTTGAGGCCATCCATAAATGACGTCATGCAAATTTTGCAGATTTTGACACCCCCTCCTCCCATTGTCACAAAAAGCTAGACAATATATTGTCACAAATTTCTGTAACCCCCACCTTATAAAAAATTCAACCTGTGTCCACTATTGTCCTTTACTAACCCTTAAGAAATTAACAAGAAGAATTACATTGTGGAAGTTGGGGGGGGGGCGGGGGCACCACGAGTTCACCGGACTGGGTGACACCAACCCTAGCGACATCACTGATAGTCTTTGCTAGTTATTGTTGCTTTTTTTTAACTTGGAAGTTCTAATTCTATGACTCCCGTGTCCAAATTTAGTAATAAATTCTCTCGTCTATCATTGTAACACCACCCCGATTTTCTCCTCCGTGGCGTAACTGGCATACCTGTACTGATTTTCTCAGGGATCGTAGTTTAAAAATAAAATAATTATAATTAATTGTTGTATAAAAGAATAAAGTTAAAAATGTTTGTAATCTGGGGTTATTAAGTGCAATTCTTTACTACAATATTCTGCTTTTCATGTGACATCACATTTTTTAAGCCCACCCCCTTGTCACACATCATCACAAAAACCTGGACCCCCCCCACACACACACACCGTTTGAGATGGCAACGATTTCAAGAACAAAAAACAAAACCCAAACAAACCGGACACCCCCCCCCCCCCCCAAAAAAAAAACACTCTTGGAAAACACCCCCCATCCAACGAGTGACTCATTTATGGATGGCCCCTTTGTTTAAGGAAATCACTTCTGCCTAACTTTGATAACATTTGACTGTACATTTCTAAGGCTTAACCTCTCCTCCCCCTTTCTATCTCTGTCTCATTCTCAAGAATTGTTGATCCCATTTGGGTATGGTGACCCACAGTTTGGGAATCCATGCTAATGTGGCTGTAGCTTATCTCATTAGATTTAGCCAGTTGCTATTTTATTATTGATTAGTGCGATTTTTAAAAACTATATCCATTACCCTATTACTATTATATTAAATGAGCCTACCGGTAATAATTTTTTTAAAAGCTATTTAAATTACAGTTTTGGTTACAATTAAACTTTCAAACTCACATGTGTTTTTTCCCCTTGAATTTTTAGACTTATTGAATCTTTAGACTTATTGAATTTAAACTAAAGTAAATTTAATAAGATATACATTATAAATTATTTATATATCTTTAATTAAAATAGATAACTTTCTTCATCTTTTCAATCCATTAACTTAACATTGAAACTCTGTGTACAGGAACTCTTTACATCAGAAGACGCAGTCAGTTGTTAAGAGAACATGCAAAAAATGAGGTATATAATAGTAGCTACATAATTGTTGATATCATATGGCCATTAATATGAAATATAAAGGCATATCCAACAGCTCTTGTTTTGATCATTGTTTAAATTTAAACATAGTTAAAATTTTTCTACTTCTGTAAATATATTGTTGAATGTATCCCTACTCTTTAGAAAGATGGTTCATCAAGGAAAGATTACCTTCGACTGAGAGCTCAGCTTCTCAATTCACACTATGGAAGTCCAGCTTTTTCTGATCAAGGGTAAAGAAAATTGTTTTTATGTAATTAATTTTTTTACAAAAAAAATTAAATATTTTTGTTTACTTATAATTTTGGGCTGTGCTATTTTTAACATAGGTGAAGAATTGAAATAATAATCTTCTTAATATTCCATTTTTGAAGTAGACTGTAATGCTTCGTGAAACATTTTAATTTTGTTACTATATCCTTATTTATTGTATAATTAAATAATTACTGAGGATTAGATTGGGGAACAGGGCAACACTTTTTAATTCATCACTGAACATAGCTTGGCACTGTATCTGTAACGGGTTTGTTGTTACAGTGAGCAGTCTTTTAGCAGCTCAATGTAGCTAATGTACTAAAATAAATTGTGTGAAGTAACATCTTATTGTTCCTCTAAATTACTATATGACATTTTTCAGGAGTATCAAGAGTCGATCTTTCAGTTTGAGGAGCCTAAGTAGAAACACTGAGGTATTATCTTAATCTTCATTAAAACAATTGAAAATTTCATTAAACTTCTAACTACACACTTTTGGACTTACCCTTATATAAGTTAATAATTCTGGTTTCATCTTTGCTTATCTTTTCATTTTTAATTTAACTTGGAAGTATAGGTCTTCTAACTTTAGTGGGCATAGTTAAATTGAAACAATGATTTTCAAAAAGTTGAAAGTTAAATTTCAAAGCTGTTCACTACATGCCTTACTTGCTTTCCTAGAGCTTGGAGTCTATGATAGCCAGTGGAAGTGAGAACAGGAAGTACTATCATCACCGTCGTCACATGAGTAACAGTTCCCTGAAATACCTATACGAGGGCCCAATGAAACATGTTTATGATAGTATTGAAGTCATGCCAACAAGTGTGGCAGAAGCCAGTAGGTGAGATGTTCAGAAAATGTAAGATAAAATCAGTCTATTTATAAATTATACTATTTATTACCATAAGAGATGGTGTGAACTAACCCTTATGTGTGATGAAGGAAGATTAAAAAAGTATGTTATTTTTAAACTTACAGAGCAATGGCAGGAGGTAAAAGTCTTTCAGAGAATTATGCCTTCACAGGGATGCATCACATCTTTGACCAGCATTCTGCAGCAGGTAGATTTGAACAGTTACCTAACAACATCCATCCTCATAATTATATACCATCACTCTGCAGTAAAATATTTTAACGAATGAGATTGTGCTCTTTCTTGCTCATTAATGAAGCAAATATCTGCAGCACACAAAATACTAGGATTTCTTTTACTTTTAGTCTAGAATACATGATAAGTGTTGTGTTAAAAACTTTAAGTCTCTTCTTCTTTTAATTAAAAATTTGTTGCTTATCATTTGCAAGTGACGAGTGTGAAATTTGCCAACGATGACCGGTCTAGAGTAGCTTGTTCATCATTGGATGGGACTCTATCAATCTGTCAGCTAATCCCACCCCCAGCCACTGTCATTTGTATGTTAAAAGGTCACAAGGCCGGCGTTACAGGTAATGCTATTTGAATTTCAGATCAAACTTACAATTTATTAAATGAAGAATTTTAAATGCTTAACTAAATTGGTTGCTGTCTTCACTTTTTATTTCCACAATTAGCCAGCGTGAAGGTTGAAAGTTTTATCAACATTATCTGAAATTAGCAATACCAGTTGTAGTTACAGCCTACAAAGAACAGAGATCATATGATATATAGCAGGAAATTAATGTTGACTTCATTTCTTCAGATTTTGTTTGGTCCCTCTCCAATGATGTGATTTTGTCCGTGTCCCTGGATGGAACAGCCAGGCTGTGGGATGTCGCAGCAGGCTCCTGTATGAGAGTAATTGAAGACAGCCTTGGTGCAGAACTGCACTGTTGTGTCTTTCAACCTCTCAACAATAATATGTTTGTTGTATCCTTATTTGATAGTGAGCATTGAATTGTGGATTGAATAGGTATTAAAGAAAACCTGATTCAAGATTATTTGCCATTAATTTATACAATTGTTAGGACATTATGGTAGTTCATTGACCATCTGTAACTCATGGAAGCATACAGAGCAACTTTTTTTTTTTTTTAAATCACAGATGAAATGTTTAAAAATTGTATTTTTAAACTTGTACTTATATTAATTTTCAGATGGCATTGATAATAATTTTTTTTTAAATACTCTTTAACAGTTATCTCTAGGCCCAAAACTTACAAAAAGATATTGATCCTTAACTTAAATACAGACTGGTAACAGCCGTAGTATGGTACAAGTTATGAACATGTCTACTGGTAAAGGTTATAAGGTGAACATTCGTAACAATTTTTCACACTAACATATATTTTAAGTTTAGACCAGAGCCATGCAGAGGCAACCAAGTGAAGCACTATGGACCCTGTCTGCATGAGGCAGAGCCGTTCTTAGGCATGGGCAAGCTAGGCGACCAAGGAAGCCTCGTCGGGCGCATTTTTTTTTAGCATACAACTTTCAAGTCCATATATTTCAGAAGTAAAAATTTTCTCTAAGGGCGGAATTATCAATATGGTTAGTGGTTACACACGGGCAAGATAGATGATCAGTGCCAGCCCGCTGGGGCCCCACCCACCATGGCGGCACTTCCATTCTGCCTGCGTCAGCTCTGTACTCCCGGGGAACTCTGACCCCCCCCCTCTTCCGGAGAGCTCTGATCCCCCCTCTTCGGGGGCCCCTTACCTACCCTCCATGCCTAGGCCCCCCCAAAATCGTAAGAACGGCTCTGCATGAGGGCTCCCAAGGGTGGCATTTTATTGGATACAAATACAAAAACAATTAGTTTTAAATTTGATTGAAAATGACCAAAAACGGCCACAAAATGGATTTCATATTAGAGATTTTAAATGTGAAAACACATACTTAAGAGATATTCTCCACGCTGGTAGGCCAGCAGGCACATTTAAAGACAATTGTTAGGTGAATTTGAGTCAGTTGTTTCTATTACTATTAGTCTTCTTACGTTAGATGGTCATTTTTATATTATTTTTATATGATCTTGTGTAAGCATTTAATCATTGTTCCATGTGAATGAAATGTTTCAGGGAGGAAGCAGCAAGGTTACTGGTCGAGTCAATGCACTGACATTTGATGGAAGTGGACACATCCTGTGGGCCGGGGATGAAAGGGGTTCAGTGTATTCATTCACAGTTGATGTGGCTACCGGCAAATTAACCAAGACTCGGAGGTGAGCTATAGGTAGAAACAAGCTCATTTGAAACTTACAAATCTGTCATCGCCCTTAATAGTGTAGAACCAAGGTTGTGTAGTGTAGATGTTTGACTTTGCCCATACAATATAGATCATCTGTCTAGTTGTGGATATTTGTGGCCTATATTGCCTATTATTATAGGCTTAAGTATTTAGTTAGTACATATAGTTAAGGTTATAGTTAACAAAAGTATATAATTTTTTTTAGGTCAGCCAGGCCTGCACTAGTCTAGATTAACCGGTCACTATATCTAGTACTTTTAACTTTACCAAGTTGGGCCTAACTCAACAAGCACGAAAATGTATTGGATTTTGAAAAAAAGGTTTTCAGCAAATTTTAAAGTTACCAACAATAATCCAGATGAATAATTGTGAAAATGTTTCTGTCCTAAAAATTAGTGTTAAAACACAAAATATTTAATTGGATGTTTTTTAAAATTTATATTCAAGTGAGTTAGACATTGACATGGTAAAGAAGATGTAGGTGTGGCAAAGGGTCTTGTTTTTTCACACCTTGTAGTCTAACAGGAAAATTCTTTACAGCGACGGGCTCTCTGTGTCATCTCAGTAGACCTCCTCAGATCCACTATTTGATGCAGGTGTGCTAGTGGACTCGAGTTCAATCACTAGCAAAAGCAAAAACATTACCAGCACCCTGGGTGGATGGGACTCGTTAACCTTGGATGACTTCTCATCTGAGAGAAGGCAAATTCTGAAATCAAACCCGGAGATGGAGGCCCGTGGGTGATGTGACATTAACATAATGAAAATTCCGACAAGTCCTGCAATGAAGAATGCAAAAAGAGCATAGGGAAACACACAAGACACACTGCTGGTCATCTACTGCATCTTGGTCTATTTACTAACCTGATTGCAGTCTCTCCCTTATTACCCTATTTCCAGTCATCTTGATTAAGTCTTGCCATTGGATCAGATAAAGACGAGGCTGATGAATTGAGCAAATCTTCTTCACTTTAAAACAAAATACAGCTCAAGTCAAGGCTACTACTCATCATCTTCACAAACAATAACATTATAAATAACGGGTCTAATGGTGATACATTTTTGGCAGGAGATTTCTATGGAAAAGCACTGATCTAGATAACATATCAACAGTTTTTTTTTGTACAAGTGGTCTCAAAATACCTGTTGAAAGTGTTTAGTGGTGGTTAAATTCAGGAAAAGACATGATTATAAGCTACAAAAAATTAAAGAATGTTCAGAATAATTTTTTGTCTCTTATGAATAATCAAAGTAACTTAAAACCACATGCTCACTTTGGCACAAAATAATTGGTTATAATACGATGCAAATTTCTGTTTTTAAGAATGCCTGTATCAGAAGGTCATCCTGTCACAAGCCTCTCAGCTAGAGCATGGATCAGTCGTGAGGCCCGTGATCCTTGTCTTTTGGTCAACTGCTGTGTTAATGCACTGTCTCTGTTCAGGTAATATATAGTGTTATTGGTGAAATGTGTGGTATTCAATGGATCAACAGACATGATCTCAATAATTTTATATGGTAGAAGCACACCTTCATTGTAGATATCCAAAAACTTTTTAAAAATGGTTTAGTCTGGGTAGTAGCAGGTTTCTAAGTAATTAAAAAAAGCTAACATATATCTATAGGTGCCTGTGTGTGTGTATAACGCCTGATATAAATCGTATCATACATCACTGACAAATATGAATAAACCAGATTTAGTAATTTAAGCGTAGGGTCACAAAAGACTTGACTGCTGAAAAATGGTGAACTGTAGTTCAAATTATGATTGGTGTAGATGACTTTACACTAAATACATCAGATAACATATCATCAGCAGTTTTTAACTGATTGTAGTGGCACACTGGTTCGTCACAGCCGTGTCACTAGATTTTCATCTTTTAAAGGGAAAAAAAATTCAATATATAAAAAAAAAATTTAAAAAAAAGATCTTTAGGGGTATTTTACCTACATAATAATTAATATAAGGATATTAAAGGTAAAATGGTATTTATAATAATCTTAATTATCTAATTTAAAAATAACAATTAACTTGGACCTAATGATATTGACAGTGTTGAAACTTATCACATTAAATTTTTAACAGAATAATATCTGATGATGGGGCTCTCCAATTAAAGAAGTCGTTTCCTATCAAACAACGGACATTGTGTGTTAAGAGCACATTCTGTCCTCTAATGTCATTTCGTCAAGGAGCTTGTGTCAGTAAGTAGTTCAACTTAAAAATCATTTATATTTTTTTTTATTGGTCCGGTCTGCCTTGGACTTGTTTTCACCCATTTTAATATAACTGACTCATAATTTTCATTAATTACTAAGCCAGCTAATTTTATAATTTATATTATATTATTATTAATCACAAGGAACATGACAGGCTTAAATAAATATATACAATTCTCAGCTGAAATTAGGACATTATAGTATTGTCTCATATCTTTTTCTTTTTTTTTTTTAAAAAACCCCCCAGTCTCAGGTAGTGAGGACATGTGTGTTTACTTTTTTGATGTGACAAAGGAAAACAAACCCTGTGTCAACAAACTCTTGGGTCACTCAGCCCCTGTCATAGATGTGGCCTTCAACTGTGACGAAAGCCTGCTTGCCTCATCTGACGCTAATGGTATGGTTATTATTTGGAAAAGAGAGGGTAAACAGACAACTCTTTACATCTAGGTTGGTGCAGACTTTTGACACAGTGCAATAAGAAACTGATGATGCGTTTGGAGACAATCTCATTTGTGGCTACTGATTCATACAGGGACGTAGAGGTCAACTTTCTGGTTTGAGACTCTCATTGCTTAGATACTGATATATACAGAGGTTTACCTGCTGGTTTCAGCATGATCTCAGTGGACCAGATTTATACATAAGGAGAAAAGAGTCTAAAGAGGTGTCTCTTGATTATTTTATTGTTTTACACTGTTGTCGTTGGATGTAATAATTGTTTTATTGCTCAAATATTTAATTTACTGCCTGCGGTTGTACTTTATAACAAACTGGGACTGTGGCAATTTATTTTTTTAATTAGTGGCTGTGTTGATCTATGCTAAAGGTCTTAACATTCCATGTTCTCTTAATGAAGAGAAAATATTTGGAGGGAGTTATATATTGTATGATTTTTGTAGAATTGTTAGTGTGAGAGCAATGTACACCACACTTACCATATATTCCCACATATAATGCAAAGCCCTAAATTTTTGTTTTAAAAAAGCCATTAAATGCTATGACATATATAAATACAATACAAAATGTATTTCCTTAATTCAAACTGTATATATGTGGACTCGATTAACAGATTAAATTTGTTTTTAATAAAAATGTCAAAGTTCTTTAAATTACTATAATACCTGTAGCCTATTTAAAAATAATGATTGTCATACTGATATAACTATGCTAATGCATGTACTCTACAATTATGAAGTAGAAACAAAAAATAATTTTGTAGTTGGTCGCCACAACATGGGGAACTGTAGTTAAGGGTCGTGGCATTAGGAAGGTTGAGAGCCACAGGCCCAGATTTGGTTTGATTTAATAAGGGCCATATATATATATCGTTAACCGATAATAAAAAAATTCTTTAATGCTCTTATAATGCGCACATCTACTTTCTAGCGAAATTTTACCCAAAGTTTTTTGCATTATGTGCGGTATTATACGGTAAATCCTGGATTTCTAAAGAAAAAATTCTTAATTAAAGTTCAGTTACTCATTTATAAAGGATTGACCTTATTTTATTGTTTTCTTTTAAGAAATCTAATTTTTCAAAAACTTGTCAACAAGATTCGCTATTTTTAAAATTGTTGACCATAAATGCTAAGATAACAAACCAGATATCTTTTGAGCCTTTATTTTTTCCACACAACATTTATAAAGTAACTCATGTAACATCCTTTGGAAATAAAGACTGGTCAAATATAATAAATGTAAAAAATATTTAGTCACATAATTTGATACTTCTTTATATTTTGTTCAGATGTATTGTTATTTATAGTGTAATTAAAATATCTATTGATTTATTTTGAATATTGTCTTTGATGACGAATGATGCTTTTTTATTTTTATTCAATATAAATAGTAATTTATAAATAAATACATTATTTATATTGTTCATAAGTATGTACAAATAAAGAATTTTTGTATCACTATCATTAGGCATCAGCTGAGTAAATTTTAAAATTCTTATTTATAATGAGGACAAAAATGTAACTAGTCTATGCAAATCTGCCTTTGTGTTGTAAATCGTGCAAATCAATGTTTGTGTCTATCAAAGTTGCAGTGAACTCAAGGTGTGTGACATTTTACAGAATATTGTTTTGTGAATTTCTAGGCAACTATTTCTGGCTCACAATTTTGTTTCCATTGGAGACATGGTATATTAAACTAATAATTGAAAGACAACACAACATTTTCCCTCGTACTATTTGAGCATAAACATGAGCATTGTGTAGAATGTGCTTCACATAATTAAGTGATTTCTTTGGGTTGAAAAACTGGTAGCTTATAATATAAGCTTCGTCAAAATAACAGCATTTATAAACAACTTGACATCTGCATTCCTTATTGGCAGTCTGTGACCTATTGTTAATTTATTATTAAATTAACGATACAGTTACTATTTTCTTTCATGTGTTAATAAACTTATGTATGGTGAAGCATTTTTACGCTAGTCTCTTGTCTATACAATTAGCATGTGCACTGCATCACATTCATGTGATCTTTTGTGTTTGTTTTTGTGAGTCTGAATTTAGCCTTTGTTAAAAAAAATGCAACAGTCAACTGTTCATCACCTTAAGGTGCTGGAGAAGAGAAATGTGATTGAAAAGGAAACAGCAATAGAGATAATTAAATGATCTGAGACATGCCAGAAAGAATTTAGATTCAGTCCGCTCAGAATAATTTTTAAGGACGAACTTAAAATAATGGATAATATATGAAGAATGTTCCTGTCTTTTTAATAAACATATCCTGTCTCACAATATTTTTAGAATAATGGAAGACCTTAAAAGAAAAGAATAAATATAACTATGTTGTATAGTGAATTATACAAATGGAGAAGTTATATTTAGCCAATTGTTATTGCCCAAGCACAGTTGTCAGATTATTACAGCTTATGATTTACCTGTGCTTCATTAATATTATCTAACAGTATTTCACTGTAACTAATTGAAATCACATTTCTTTTCCTTTTTAAAATTTTTTAATACATTTTGTTTCTGGTAGAATCTTGCATCTCAATTTCTACCCACTTCCTGACGTCCAGTTGAGCGAAGCCTTAGTACACTTATCAAGCCCGATAAAAATAAAACCGTTCATGATCAGTAGGTCACTAGTGTATTTCACTTAACCCTTGAGTGACCATCTTGAATCTAAATTTTGACCCATTCCTGACATCCAAACTTTGTAAGCTTATACAATACGACCCTTCTTGATCATTAGGTAACCAGTGACCACACAAACATTTTTAGTCATATATTTCAACTCACTTCCTGATCCCCTATTAGATCGTCTTAAATTAATTTAAAAAGGTACAAAATAAAACAATATTTTAAAAAACATGCTTTTTCTAAAATGTACCAAAAAGTAAAAATAAATGTCCTCCAAAACTTCAGAATGGTTAGTCATATGCCTAACAAAACATGGGGCTCCTATGAAATACAATGTTACTTGACAAATAAAATTTTGGACGCATGTATACATTTACATTGCTGTAAGTAAGTGTTATTTGACACAATAGAGATAACTGTTGATAGAGATAACTGTTGTGTCGATCATGATCTTGACTAGTGAAATGAAATTAATGATACTGCTGCACACATGTCTTTGCGATTTGAAAAGAACATTGAGTTCATAGGCACCCAATAATTTTTTTTAGTCTTATGACTGTAACAACTCTTCAGGGACATTTATTTTATACTTTTTAGTACATTTTTAGAAATCCGTGTTTTTTAAAATAGTATTTTAAAATATTTCTTTAATATTCTTTTTAAACCATATTATTCTGAATACAAAATGCAAACTAAGGACATATTAGGAATGTATCTCGCATTTAACTCAAATTTATCTGCCCCTCTGACTTTTACGCCTTTGGGTAGTAAAACTATGACATAACAAGAAAGCTGTCGGGAAGATACAAAAGACCGGAGAGACTTGTCAAAGATAAAGAAGGTAGATCAATAACGGAAAGGAAAGAACAACAAAAAAGATGTGTGGAATTCTTTAAGGAACTTAAACAGACACACCAGACATACAACCAGGAAATGAAGACTTACAAAGAGAAGAAAATACACCAAATAAGGAAGAAATAGGTCTGGCCATCAAGTAACTCAAATTAGGGAAAGCACAGGGACCGGATAACAGCAGAGATGATGAGAGCTGATATAGATACAATAGTCAACATGCTGCACCCTCTGAAAAGATATGTGAAGAAGAGAGAGTTCCAAAAGATTGGAAAGAATATCTCATCAAGATACCAAAGAAAGGGGATCTCAGCAATTGTGCAACTTACAGAGGAATTAAACAGAATTATTTTGAATAGAATGAAAGACCAGGTCGACATGCAGCAACAAGATCATCAGGCTGGCTTCTGCTGAAGCAGATCATGCACGGATCAACTTGCAAAACTAAGAATCATTGTAGAACAATCCATCGAATGGAACTCCCCCCTATATATAAATTTTATAGACTACGCAAAGGCCTTTGATAGCCTGGATCGAAAAACCTTGTGGAGGCCTTCACATACTTAGGCAGCACCATCGACATAAATGGTGGATCCGACGTGGACATAAAGTCTAGAATTGGGAAAGCTAGATCAGCATTAGTGCTATTAAAGAAATTATGGGAGTCGAAGGAGCTGAAGCTGCAAACCAAAGTCAGACTCTTTAACATAAATGTCAAAGCTGTCCTACTATATGTAGCAGAAACTTGGAACAACAGCGAGCATTATGCAGAAAGTGCAGACTTTTATAAACACATGCCTTAGAAAGATCCTGAACATCAAATGGCCAAATACCATCACCAACAAAAATCTACTAGAGAGGACATACCAGGTCCCCATTGGTGAAGACATAATAAAAGATGGAGGTGGATGGGCATACTCTCCGAAAACCCCTCGATAGCATCACCAGACAAGGCCTAAGAACACATGGAGACGCGAGCTAAGAGGCAGACACGCAAAATATTGGATACACCTGGAAGCATTTGGAAAGGAAAGCACAGGACTGTGATAAGTGGAAAATTCTTGTGGACGGCCTATGCTCAGACAGGGTAAAAAGGCATAAGTAAGTAAGTCTGACTTTTACACCTTTGGGTAGTAAAACTATCAAATAGAAAAATAATCAAAGTTTGATCTTACAAACCTTCAGAAATCAATGCTCTATGGATCTGTGACTATTTTGTTTACATTTATGAGTTTACGGATGTCTAAACCTTGTTTATTATATATCAAATGCATAGAGAGATAATTAATTGCATTTGAGTCCAATATAATATAATATTAAAAAAGGCAACCAAATAATATAATTTTTAAATTGCGTTTTAATGGTAATTAATATTTTATATGTGGGAGTTTGTACAATCAATAATATAGAATATTGCTAATAAGCGAGCAAAAGGAACAATATTTTTGGGAGAGTAGAAACAAGTATAAAAATCAACAAGTTAGGAAATTCATTTAAGATTGTCTAAAAATAGCAAAAATCACAAAATGAATTAAAAATTAAATTTAAAAAAAAATCAGTTTCAAAAATGAAATTCTGAAGAAAAAATAAAACTGCCAAACTTGTGATTGTCGTGTGGACAGTTTTCTAATTTTTTTTTTAAAGCTTCTTGAATTTGGTTAAAAACTCAAAAATACCTCAGAACCTGTAGCTTTATACAAATAAAAAAAACAAAAAAAACAGTAGGTCCTTTTGTTCTTCATCAAGAGTCAGAAGTACAATGATATGTTTTATATGTAATTTATTATTTTAGTGTACATTAACTTGCAAACATATTTTTTTCAAAGTAATTCACTTTTGTATTGCATGCCCTCCATTAAATAATTGTTAAAAATAAATTTCACATTTTATTAAAAAAAAAAAAAAAAAAAAAATAAAAAAAAAAAAAAAAAAAAAAAATAATTTATTATTTTAGTGTACATTAACTTGCAAACATATTTTTTTCAAAGTAATTCACTTTTTTATTGCATGCCCACCATTAAAAAATTGTTAAAAAAAAATTTCACATTTTATTAAAAAAAAAAAAAAAAAGTATGAAATGCAGTAATAAAAGAAAAAATACTTTTCATACCACAAATCAAAGACCACAAGACTAATAATAATATATTTTTTTAACACAGGAGGAACAAACATTCCTGGCCTGATGGGTATATAAAACCTGTTAGTTGCTTAAATCAGTTATATGTGATACACAATTTTACCTCTACTAAACAACCATTGATTGACCTGAGCCCCAAAACTTGAAAGAATCCTGGGCATAGTCCCAAAGCAATCAGATTCCTTCACATCAATATAATGGCCTCCACTCACATGTTCGGCAGAAACAACCTCTTTACTGATTTGATTCACAACCTCATAGTATGAAACATATCTAACAACTAAATATTTTAGGCCACCATCTGTGAGAGCATTTTTTTGCTGATTAGCATCAGTAAAGACCATGAAACTTAAAAGAAAAAAAAAAAGGTGCAGATAATTACATCAGTACTCATTAACTTGCATGTCATTACCAATCTGTCATAAGGGTGAATCTTTCATAACAGAACTTCAAAGCTGATCAATAGATCTGTGATGGTATGGTGCACATGAATCAATTAATTTTTTTTTTAAACTTGGGGCCACAAATTAAATATTTGTTTTAAAGTTTACAAATTATTTTTCCTAATAAAAAAAAGGTATGACATCGTTTTAAAGATGAGACTTACTTTCAAATGTAACAAAGTTCTTCTAAATCTCAAGTAACACGTTTTTTAACAGACGTTTAAGCCTGGATAGTTAGGTACCATAAATAATAAATCTATGAGGCACATTGGAGACTTTACCTCGATAAAGTGGCATCATATAAAATATCTTGCATGCGCAGTCTTTTTAAAAAAAATATTTGTTAAAGCGCCAGTGGAAATAATCTTCAGGGGTTTACCTAGTTACAAAACATTACAAATAAAATTTTAATGTGTGAATAAATGCAAATATATTGATATATGTTGGTATCTGGTATATAAAATTAAAACACCTGAACTTTAAATCTTATAAATAATTTATCTATGGAACACAAGTTTTAAAAAATGTTCAGAATGGTATATTTGATATGTAAGAGGAAGGAAATAAATCACTTCTTTAAGATTATTGATGGACACATACAGAACAGAAAGTATTTTTGATTCAATTGCGCAAACAAATATTAAATGCATTAAAAAACTGATTATTTTTTTTTGTTGCTGTTATGTGCAACTGGTCATTGTTTAAAGTAAAACATAATTTTTAAAGCCATAATTAAATGTTGACCACTATTCTAAAGTTTTTTTATCAAGCCCTTCCTTTAAATTGATTAGATTTAAAAGAAACACTGTGG